TGTATGATGGAAATGCCTGCATCAAGCACATCAGTTATACAGCAAAAGAGGTTCTGCACCCCCCCACCCCAAGAACAGAGGACCTTTTTGTTTAAGACCCACATCAGTGGGAGTGTAGACACAAACTGAGCTGCAGATGTTCAACATTTCTAAACATGGGAAAGTCACATCCTCCTTTACTTACCCGCTAAGTCTTGCAAACCAGTTGGCATGCACCTACCAGACTTACAGCTGACTGGAAATGCTTTGATTGGCCCTGACTTACAACTACGGATTCTGCCATTAACGAAGACACTAACCCTTCAATGACAAGTAGCAGCACTCCATAGTCGTACCTTCTCCTGCTCTTTTTTAACAACATCATCACATTTTAAGCCAAGGGTGTCAAATGTGTTGGGTGCTGTGGGCTGGATCCAGACTGCAGGACTTCCCACGGGCCAGACAACCCGTGAGCAATGGTGACACTGTTTGAGCTTCTAGAGCTAGTTTTGGTGCTAGTTTTGTTGCTCATCTCTTCCCTTCCCTCCTGCCCTCTCCCCTGCTGCTAATTTTATTCACTAGGAGCTACTAACCACCCCCCACCCCCCATTTCAGCAGTGGGGAGGGGAGGGAGGTGAAGTGTTAGCTCCCTAGGTTGGGGAGCAGCAGAGATTAATGCTGACATGGTAACAAGCACCTCAGGCCAAACCTGGCCTGCAGAGGTGGCTGGTCTGGCCTGTGTGAAGACCCACCTTCATGGGCTGGATTGGGCTTACCAACCATATGTTTGGCACCACTGTTTTAGGCAGATTAGAATCCAGGTCTTGGGTCTTGGCAAATAAGCCACTCACCTTTCCATCTGATGGCAGAGATTCAGACACATGTCACTGCCTAGCACCACAGAGAAAAGTCACCCTGAGCGGTTGCACTGCACTTAGACAATAACATGCAACGATGGGGATGTACTCACGGAGGCAAAGGTGCCGATCTGTTTGATGTTCTGCTCGTAGCTCTGCGAGCTGGTGGGCCTCCCGGGTGTTCGTCTGGAGTACCAGAAAGTATAATTATACTGCAGTGGGTGCTCGGCCGGCCCTGGGACAACAGCCTGCAGAACAGAGAACCTCATTTATCCTCACAAATTACTCTGGAGAGGAGACCGAGAAAGCTATATGCATGGCATTAGAAAGGCACGTGGTCCTGCCACCACAGAGCATAAAAGGAACAGTTTAGCTTCATTTTCCTAGAAAAATCCCATCCTGGTTAATAGCTTGACACAGATCATTACTTCAGCAGTGATTGGCTGTATTTCAAAGAGGATATTAGAAATCCAGAGTACTTTTGCTCTTCGAGCAGGAAGGGAAAGTGCTAAGGGGCAGCAGCCCAGCCCCAGGAAGAATGTCACTCGATAGCAACCCCTCAGGCAAATTTAGGAAGGGCATTAATACATTCTGGAGAGACTCCCTTTAACCCTGGGCTGCCAGGACAATTGCAGTGATCAAGGCTGTCACAGGCCATGGAATGCAAAACAAAGAGAATGGGAGCTTCTCACAGAGTAGTCTGTTCTTCTCTTTTGGGAAAAGAAAAAGCATCTGAAGTGAACTAAACCCCAAATCAAGTGAAACACTCCACCACAATTCCAGTGGCAGGGTTCAGTCATTTAGCTCTCTCATAGCACTATCAGCACGCAGGCAGATAAAGACAGAGGGAGCGTCAGGAACATCCACTGCCTATATAAAAGGCTTCCAGCATGCATTAATGCAGTCGCCAAGAAACAGATGTTGCACTAGAATCACCAACCTGACAGAGGTTCCATCATGCAAGGGAGAAGGAAAAGATCTAAGCTGATCATGCAAAGATGTTACACTAATTAGAGAGCAAGTTCTAACAAGTGCAAAATTAAAGGAGTGGAGGTGGTTTCCCAAACCTGACTGAACCATGCTGTATCTGCTTGTAATCACTCTTCAAGGACAGGCTATTTAAACAACAGCACAATACTTGATCTTCTAAACCAGCGGTTCTCAACCTCAACGCAGGCTTGTGTTAGACTCCAGCCCCCCTCTGAAAACACCGGTTCCTAAACTCTCACTCATTTTTTTACTACAAAAACCTACTACAGCAATTATTTTTCATCAAAGAGCTCACAAAGACCACAACAGAGCAGAAAGATTTTGAAACTCTAGGTTTCTGTTTGAAGTGTCTGGTTTTATCTTGCAAATAGCATCTAGATGTTTGCACACTTAACAGTGCTAGTACTGCACAGCGCTTCAGGGCACCCTTAAAAGCACGCACTCAGCATGCTACAGCACCCTGCTTGAGAACTGCCATTCGAAACCAAGAGCAAGCTCCCATCTGCAAACACTTCTTGAGATTTGCCTGAAGCAAGTCAAGCTTTGCTTTTTGTTTCCAAAAGTTCAACTCACTAGGTGAAGATTTCTAATTGCACCGGAGCTCAGCTTATTATACTGTACACTCATTAGCCCTAGTTTGTATCACACTGGCAACAGAGCAGAAAGAAAAATAACAACACGCTGACATGCATCTTCCTTACAGCAGAGCTACTGGACTGATCAAGCCCCGTCAAGTCCAGCATCTCCAAACGTGCCTTGACGACGGCAGTGGAGCGCACAGCACTCACCTTCCTCTTGGTGCTACCCTGGGGTTTGTCTCGGTCATTCTTTTCCTTCTCACCGTCTTTCTGTGTGCTGTTCTCTTCGTTCTGGTCATGGTCCCCACTGTCATCATCTTTCAAACTGATGAATGCGAGGGGGGAGGAGAGAGAGCCTTAGGTTGTGCAGGAGCAAAAATGTGGCCACCTAACGCACGCCCCATGACACAGAGAGAAGCTGGGAGCCCAACAGAGACTCATGCAGGGAGGTGCGTTTTGAGCCCCACACCCATCACAGGTCCCGTGGCCGATACAAAGCCCAAGCATCATTTGTTATCCGATACTTAGTTGTGCCAATAATGGGTACATTACACCATAGATTCCTGTTTAAGACGAGGTATATTACCCCATACATTATTATTTAAGACAAGGTATATTACCCTGTAGATTCCTATTTAAGACAAGGTATATTACCCCATTGATTACTATTTAAGCCAAGGTATGCTACCCCGTCAATTCCCATTTAAGCCCATGGGTCATACGCAGGTAAGTGCCACGTGCCAGGTCAGACCGTCTGTCCATCCCGCCCAGTCCCATCCACAGCCAGGCCAAACCCCGGGACCCCTCGGTTGGCCTCCTCCGGGCTCTAAACCAGCTCGTGAGGACAGGGCCACCAGGCCCCAGGGACAGCAGGGCCACTTTCCTGCCCCTCTGCTGTGCACACCTGCAGGCAGGGTTGCACGGGGCGGCCCCTTGGACTCGTTTCCCACCATCCCTCCCCCCCCCCGGTCCATTAGGTTTAAATTTGTCCCAAGCAGTGAATGCAATCACCAAGGGAGTAGGGGTGCTATAATTGTCCTGGGGGGTGGGGTTGACCAAAGGCAAATCAGGGGCTGGGTCTCAGCAGGGGTACCCTGTTCCACCCCCACTCCCTTGCAGCCTCCACACTGAGGCCCAGGAAGGCCCCCTGGGCCTCTCCCTCCCCCACCCGCGCGTGACACATCGCGCCCCGCCCCCTCCCGACCAACGGCCGCGGCTCCCCCCGGGGGGGCGAGGACTCGGCCGGGGCGGGGGGGCGCGACTCACGCGTCAAATTTGTTGTTCATCCTCGCTCGCCGCCTCCGCCTGCCTCGGCCTCAGCTCCTTCCGCTCCTGCGGCGCCGGTCCAGTCACCCGTCCGCGCGCCACTTCCGGCAGCGGAACCTTCCCGCCGGGGCGCGAGTTTCCGGGGGGGACGCAATAGGCGCCGAGCACATACTGAGGGAGTGTCAAAGCGGCTCGTCCGCCATCTTGAGTGTGGCACCTCCTCCCCCCTCCCAGCAGCCATGTTGAGTGTGGGAGAGCCTTGCCCGGCGCCATCTTGAGTGTGGCACGTCCACCGCAGGGCCTCCATGTTGGGAGGGGCTGCGTGTGACGTTGCGAGCGGCCGTTGGAGGGCGCCGCTGACTTCCCGCCGAAACGGGTGGCCCGAACTGTCGTGGTTTCATGTTTGTGCTCTGAGGGGGAAGGTCCCTGCCTCAGTTGTGAGGCGCTGCAGCTTGCCCCCAGGCCTAGGAGTGAAAACCAGCCACAGCTAAAAGCTGCTCGCTTGGGCAGGTGGAAAATTTTGAAAACGGGGTTGTGGAGAGTGAGGTGCTTCATCCTGTCTGAAAACAATACCGCTTTTTCCACAGCTGGAAGCTTTGATTGATACGCCAGGGTGCACCACACAGGCGACGATCGTAGCAAAAAACATGTATGGCTTCATTGGACCGAGTTAGAAATGAGGTGTAGGGCCGTGAAAGAGGAGCTTGGCTACCAGGAGCGGCAAACAGGCCGCGGCATGGGAGAAGGAAGGGCCGTTTGCTTGGTGGAACATCACAACTGGGAAGAAAGATGGGGTTATTATTGCCTCTGGAAGGCAGGGTGTAAAAAGGATTGTCTAGATTATAATGATAAATGATATGGACTCTGTCACTGCCAGGTTAGAAATGCTGCAGCCACTACCAAGATTGTATTTGGTAGCCAGTGGTGATGCGTAGGGATGCATATGTACCCCCTGCGGTTGGCCACACACCCCCCTGGAAACACCAGCCACAAATTGGAAGTGCGTTTCTGGTTTTGCTACTAGCTCGGTGATCAGCAACTGGAGGAACCCCCCCCCCGGGGGTACCAGTCGCCCATGTTGGTAGCCATATTGGTCTGCACCAATGCATCCCACCCCCACCTCTTGGATTTGCCCCTGGTTGCTTGTATTTGTTTTCTCTCTAGTAGGGAAATAGTAGTTCTAGACCAGCTCTCGCCAACCTCCAGCTAACCAGCTGTGCCGTGCGCCACAGGGATGGGGTTGCTCTTTGGCTTGATGTTGAGATCCATGTGACAAACAGACCTGGCTTGTTAGCTCGCTGAAAGGAATTTTAGGGCCTCAGCACAAGGATTGTTTGTCAGACAACAACGGTAGCATGTTAAGAGACAAAGGGTTTGCAAAGCAGTGGTTCCCAAATGCCAAGGATGCTATTCAAGAATCCAAAAACAACTTCCCAGCAGGTGTCTGGGAAGAGAGAAACTTAACGAGGAACAGCACACATTTTATAGGGTTCGGGCTGCAGGATGACCCCTACGATAGGCTTCTCGTTGATTTCCTTCACTCCTTCCGGCAGCCGAAAGGTGAATGCTCTCAGGAGATTGGAGAACATGATAAAGAGACTTGTTTTTGCCAACTGTTCCCCCAGACAGACACGGTGTCCTGCAGGGTGAAGAGGAGAATTTATCACACGTATCTAATAACCCTTGCAAGTGGAATTATGCCTCTGCCCCCAAGTTAAGGGAGGATACAATTCATTGGAAATAAATGGCAATGTTTAATGTCTCAGTATGGCTTGATACTGTGTAGATGTAGAGAGCAACAGAGGTGTTGATCACAGCAAGTTAAAAAAACAAGAACAGATTTGACCTGTTTGTCTTCTGTCCTTGTTTTGTCTCCCATATTCATTCTTGCAACACCACTACAAGGCTGTGCTATTTTCCCATTTTACAGGAGGGAAACTGAGGCACAGAGAAGCTTAGCGACTTGCCTGCAATCATAGAGGAAGTCTATGGTAGGCTGGGGAACCCTGGCATTTTAGTTTAGCACTCTAACAACTGGACCTCCCATCTCCTCTGCCAAATGAGATCAAGTCAATGTTCCCAGTCTTAGAAGTCATGTCTACGCTAGGAAAATAGGTTACATTTAGAAGCTACTAATAATGTAACCTGAGTTTCTACACTTCTAAAAATATTTTGATTGGCTGTGGCCACTGCTAGATGGGATTATTATTCTCTGAAGAGCAAATTTTTACGTTCCTTCCAAAACCATTTTCCCTTAAATTACCAGGGATATTTGTTGCTCTCGTGTTCAATATCCAGTCTGTTTTTAAATCCTGCTGATTGCTTGCTCTCCATTTAAATGTGATTGATATAAATACACTCAGGATCTGTCAGGATTCAGTGTTGCCACAAGGAAATACATTTTGCTACCACAATTCCAGATAAATCTGCTAAGAAGCTTCAAAGACCCATTAGTCTTAGTTTCTTCAAGAAAGAAAGAAATTATCTGCCGTTGGAAATAATGCATTTGTTTTCTGAGCTCAAGACTTTACTGGGGTTTATAAAATAAGATCAGATGAAAGGCTAAACAGATATCAGTCTGTGGAGCAAGTACCCTGCTACATTGGGTGTGATGGGATTAATGTTACCTGCTGAAAATGGCAAAAAGGCTTCTTTGTTCAAAAAGTTTCCGTCTTTGTCCAGGAAGTGACTTGGGTTGAACTCTTGAGGGGTCTCCCAATGGTCAGGATCATACAGAACGGAAAATAAGTTGGGAAAAATTAAAGTGCCCTAGAAAGAAAGACAACTCCTTAAGAAAATAAAAAAAATATTCCTAGCAGAAACATCCTTGGACTTCCTATGGCTTCCTAATGCAGTCTGTTACATTCCTGTAAAAGTGCCTAATGCAAGAACAAGCTAATTCTTACATGTTCACCATGACACATCCTACAGAATAGTTCATTAAAACAGTTACTTCAGCAGCAAGGTCTTAAGGTTGATTCCAGAGTCTGAGGATGATAATATACAGCCAAAAATTAGTATGTTTAATTCTGGCACAAATAAACACCCCAGACTGAGTGTGGAACCCAGTTCTAAAGTTGTGGTCAGTGGAGCATGACCTCAAAGACATCTTCCTTGTTGTCTCCCAAGGAGCTATCTGTTAAGTCTCATCTGCTTGGGAAGGTATAAGGTAAGGAATAAATTTAAGGAATATATTTCTGTTGGTAAAATTCCTTTTATTCTAGAATATGTGCCTTTTTCTATTTAACTTATGTAGTTTTGCCTTTGGTTTCAATGGTGCCCAAAATTTCAGCTCCATGGGTGAGTTGAGTGGCATAGGGTTGATCTGTGGCCTGGATCCTGTGTGGGGTTGATCTATATGTGCGATCTAAGCACGCTAGCCCGACCCTGCGTGCCCCAACCTGGCCGAGTGCCGGCCCGACCCCGCATGCCCCAACCTGGCCGAGTGCTGGCCCGACCCTGCATACCCCCCAAGGGATGACAGAGCCCCCCAAGGGATGACAAGATGGAACAGTCACAAACTCCACTGTGACTGGTTCAGGCTGGACATAAGAAAGAACTTCTTCACTGTCCGAGCCCCCAAGGTTTGGAACAGACTTCCATCTGGGGCAGTTCAAGCGCCCACTTTGGACGCCTTCAGAACACATTTGGATGCTTATCTTGCTGGGATCCTATGATCCCTGCTGACTTCCTGCCCCTGGGGCAGGGGGCTGGACCCATTGATCCTCTGGGGTCCCTTCCAGCCCAAATGTCTATGAAAAAACCCCAACCTGGCCGAGTGCCGGCCCGACACTGCATGCCCTAATTTGTCTGAGTGCTGGCCCAACCCCACCCTGTGCACCTGGATCTTGCCATGTACCAAACCAACCCTGTGTACCTTGATCTGTCTGTGTGATCTATCGCATGCAAGACCATGCTTTCTGACCTACAAAACTTGAGGTGGGTCTGGAAATTTGGGAGAAAAGGAGTAGCAATTAACTCTGCCACCATTCTTCTGCTGCCAAATTTTCAGACCTGTGGGGAGCCTTGTTAGCTGTATGACAGCTTTGTGGGCTGCCTGTGGGCTAGAGTTTGAAGGCAGAAGGAAAGGAAAGTTGTGCAGGAGTTAACCTCTACTTACTGAGGTTCACAACCTATCCTGCAACCTATCCAATACCTATTTTTAATAAAGAGGTTTTTACAAATTGTTCAAGCTTACTTGTAAACCATTCCTTCACAAAACACAGAAAAAACATCTATGGTTTAAAAAGGTAAGTGGGAGTTATTGCTGTTTCTAATTTTGCCCAGAGAACACCTCTGAAGTGTAATAATATTAGCATACCTTACTAACCGGAAAGCCCTGCACAGTTGTATCCTTGGTACACTTTCGTATAACCCCTATTGCACTTATGCTGCTATACCGCAGAACTTCATGTAAAACTGCATTTGTGTAGGGGAGGATCATTCGGTCCTCATATCGAATTTCATGAGATGAACCAATAATAGCGTCCAGTTCTTCTTGGACTCGTTCTGCAGGGGGAAATTGTCAGAAACCAAAACTTAAGAAATCAGTCAAAGCATGGACTTGCTTCTCAAAATAAGTCACTGTAAATTGCAGGAATAAATCGGATTAATTCCTAGTTCATACGCACAACTTTGTCCCTTATTATGCTTAGGAGGCTGGAAGCCAAGGCCCCCTCCCCCTATTCTCCCAAGTTGGGTGGATGAGATGGGCTGGTTGTATGCCATCTGTTGACTTGCCTTGGGTTCCCCTGTCAGGGATGGGGACGCTTTGTTGCTCTAAAGTTTTTGATTTTGTATTTTTCCCCTCCTGATGACTCTTCATCCATGGCTATCACTGATTGGTCTCTCTGTGGTCATCATACTATCTACATTCTGTCCTGTCAGGATATTCGTTTGTTTCACAGGCCCATCACATGCATGCATCCTAATTTGGGCTTTTCCAATGTCCTCCTAATTTTGTCTGTTCCCCCAAAACCAGAACTCTCAGTGCCCCCACTCTTTGGCCTTGTGAGTTGGTGCCACCTTATCTCATGTTATGGAACAGTGTCATATATGCCCACAATTTCCCAGGCTATGTCTAGCCATTGACCTTGTTGTCTTGACACCCTGTCTGCCTTAAAGGCTGTGAGAACTGTCTGACTGTGATCGGGCTAAATGTATGACTGTGATCGGGCCTTTAGAACTTAATTAACCCTTGCTACTGCCCTGGGCTAGAAAATTACATTTAGAGGTTTGCCATATGTAACCTACAAATCAATTTCCAAAAGCAAACCTCTAAATGTAATTTTCTAGCCATCAATAATGTGAACAGTGCTGTCATTAGGGCCGTGCAAAGCTTTGGATCATGATTTGGATTTGGAGATGATTCGGAGGCCAAATCTATGAATCCGAATTGAACCGCAGGAAGCTTTAGACGTTCTGAATTGATTTGGAGCTTCCGAATTGATTCAGAAAAGATTTGGAGATTCAGTCATAGGGTATAATGGGGAATCAATGAAATGTTTATAACTTTGTTGTCTTTTGGCTGATTCAGATGAAACTTGCAGGGTTGGTAGCCTCTGTTGAGAGCATGAAGCCTGCCCAGTTTCAAGGTGATAGGTGCACGGGTTTTTGGGAAACTGCACCCCAAATTTCTGAAAGCAAAACTTGTGTCATGAGTGTGTGTTATGCCACAGTGGGATCAAAACTGTCAGAATGCTAGCCCCTGGTGAGGCCACAAAGCCTGATAAGTTTCAAGAAGATAGGTGCAGGGGTTTGGAGGAAACTGTGCCTCAAGCTGCGGACAAGCAAAACTCATGACGTGGGTGACAGTGTGTACGTTAAGGTGCAGCAGGATGAAAGCTGCAGGCCTTCTAGCCCCTGCTGAGGCCACGAAGCCTGCCAGCTGTCAAGGAGATTCTGGGGCCCTGCACCTCTTGCTGCTGACAGGCAAAACTCGTGATATGGGTGCTTGTGCAACTGTGTCTGTCTTGGGGCACGGGGGGGTGGGGGGTTGAAACTACTGCAGGCCTGGGTGCTAGGCTGCTGTGTTACCAATCAGTCATGATTCACTCAGGCACCAGTTCCATACACAGTAGCTAGCTAATGTAACAAGTTAACGAGCAAGGATTAACACCTACAAAACCACAGACTAAGGAGAGGAAAGAATCAATACAGACAATCAACTGCCCCAAGACAGAGACAGTGAGTTGCACGAGCACCCATGTCACGAGTTTTGTCTATCAGCAGTTGGGGTGCAGGGCCCCAGAACCCCCCTGCACCGGTCTCCTTAATAGCTGGCAGGCTTTGTGGCCACAGCTGGGGCTACCATCCCTGCAGCTTTCATCCTGCTGCACCTTAACACACACAGTGTCACCCATGTCACGAGTTTTGCTTGTCTGCAGCTTGAGGTGCAGTTTCCCCCAAACCCCTGCACCTATCTCCTTGAAACTTGGCAGGCTTTGTGGCCTTACTAGGGGCCACCACCCCTGCAGTTATCACCCCATTGTGGCGTTAACACATACAGGTGACATGAGTTTTACTTTCAAGAATTTAGGGTGCAGTTTCCCCCAACCCCCTATACCTATCTCCTTGAAACTTGGCAGGCCTCACGCTCTCAGCAGAGGCTACCATCCCTGCAAGTTTCATCTAAATTGGACAAATAACAACAAAGTTATAGATATTTCATTGATTCCCCATTATACCCTAGGGCCGAATCTCCAAAGCTTCGGAGCTGATTCAGCCGAATCAAAGTGGTAAACTGATTTGGGGCTCCAAATCAAATCGATGGCATCCGAACTGGCTGAATCCAAACCTGAACCGAATAGTTCCCTACTTGCTCAGGCCTAGTTGTCATCTTCAGTCTCATCTTTAATATGCTAAATTCAGCTTCTCCCTACCTAAAAGGGGAAGGAGAAAGGGCAATAATGCCAGCATGTCTGTTCGGCCACTACTTTCCCCCTATTGGCAACCCACAGTAGTCTATCCCCATCTATTTTATGCACAGAAATTCACTAGAAATTCACAGGAATGAAGTGCCATGCCTCATATTTAAATCTGTCATTGCTGAGACCATGGACATCTCTAGTTTTGCAGGTCACTAGCTGCAAGTTAAGATTTGGGCTCACTCAATAAAAGTTTGATAGTTTATATATTTGGTGAAGTTTCCCACATTTTGTTGGATTCCTTTGACTTCAGTTACTGGAATAAGTGCAGCTGCATGTCCCTCTCACCTTGTATTTCTGGGTGTGCCATCATGTAAAGGATAGCCCACAATAAAGAGATTGTGGTGGTGTCTGAACCTGCTATGAAGAGATCAGTAATCACTTGGATCATGTTGTTCTCTTTAAATGTAGATGTTGGGTTATCCTTGGTCTGTAGAGGGGAGATGGAGAATGTGAGTTAGGACTGCGATTGGGTAGCACTGTAACCTGTCTGAAGACTTTTACCTAAAAAAAATGCCTGTTGAGATGACAGAGTTGGAAGACATGAAGCTGGCAAGCTGAAGGCATGGCTGATGGCCATGTATATTTGTAAATGACATTGTCTTGTTAATGCAGGAAGGAAAGAGGGAGAGTTTGTGTGATGAGCACTGCTCTCTTTTCCCCCCTTCTTTTTAAGATACAGATGGAGTAACAGTGTATCTCTGGTGGGTACCAGCCAAACAAAGACCTCACTAATTAAAAAATGTATCCCTTTTCTTTTTATGTCAAAAGGAAGCAGCCACTCAGAAGGGAGACTGCAATATCTAGATGTGAACAAATTAAGTATTTAATTTTGGTGGCTAGGATCTGGTACCAGCTTCCAAGGGAAGTGGTGCTGGCTCCTACCGTAGAGGTCTTTAAGAGGAGGCTTGATGATTACCTAGCTGGGGTCATTTGAGCCTAGTTTTCTCTCCTGCCAGAGCAGGGGGTCAGACTAGAAGGTCTGCAAGGTCCCTTCCGACCCTATATCTATGAATCTGTTATGTAGCTGTATGGTAGGGGTGCACTGATAGAGATTTTGGGAGCTGATACCAATTTTTAAGGAGGCATATTGGCCAATATCAATCCAATTTCTGATACAGCTACGTCCAGCAAGTAAGTCTGTTATGGTGGAAGGGGAGGAGGAAGGCAAGGGGCGTGGGGATGCAGATCAAGGCCCACTGCAGTGAGGGAGAGAGTGGGGCTGGGACAAGCGCTGCCCAGCTGGGACAGAGTGGGTATGGAATAGAGCTGCGGCTTGTCCGGTGGGGTGCGGGGATGGGGGCTGGCCCCCACTGTTGCACGCTGCTCATCCAGGAGCCACTCATCTGGCAGCTCATCAGGCGCTCACCTGCTCATCCAGCAACTCCCACCGCTGCTCCTGCTGATTGTCTGGGAGGGCATGGGGAGGTGGTTGCCCCCAGATCTGAGCAGGATGGGCAGGGCCAGGGCTATGCTCTGAGTGAACAGCAGCGACACTGAAAGCAGGGGTTATGGGGGGGGCTACAGTGAATTTTGGGGTGACTGCAGCACTCCCCCATAGCCACTGCTCCCAGTGCTGCTGCTGCCCACCCTGAGCACAGCCCGCCCTGCCCCGATCTGGGGGCACATGCCCCCCCCCACACACCCTCCCAGACTAGTGGTGGGAGTAGCACCCCCCACAATTGAACTTCGGCTCTGTCTTGTGGCCACCCCTACCAAGCTGGGCAGTGCTTGCCCCAGTCCCTGTCCCAGCCCCACTCCCTCCCTCACCCACATCCCTTCCCTTTCCCCTCAACAGACTTACCAGCTGGACACTGCTCTCCAAGCTGCTGGGCTGTGCTCCTCGTCATCTACATTCTGCACTGTGGCTATGCATGCATGAACCATTTATCTGCCATATTATCAGCCATATCAGACCAATTTCGGATACAGACCATTTTCTATGTATCGGTGCCAATCCACTATCAGACCAATGTATCGGTGCACCTCTACTGTATAGAACACTGTTACTTACTTTCCACATCTGAGAGAGATATGAGTCAATGAAATCCTGTGGCTTTTCAGGCACCCAGCTGTTCTGGTGAGACTTGATCTCATCCTTTACAAGTCTACGTAGATCCTGCATGTGGGTTAGTGCCAGCAGTGATCTCATGAACACAGGACTTAGATGCTTCATCAATGTTGGGAAAGCATCATAAAGCTGTAGGGGAAAACAGACAAAATTAATGTTGGGAATTCTTGGTTTTGTGACCAAGGCTTCCACTGATTCATTTCAAGAAACAGGGTGTTTACAATGGAATCCTTTTCATGGTCCAGTTAATTCTTTGTGAAAAGAAAGGGAACACTTGACTGTTTTGACTTTTACCTTATTTTCTGAGATGACAGAGAGCTATCAGGGGCCAGATACTATACTTTCTACACCTTGTGCCTTCCTCTAGCAGCTTCCAGATTCTCAGTGTCAGGATCCCTTGCAATAAATCTGTGGTCATATTCTTAAAATGAAGCCTTGACTGAACTCAAAAACAGGTCACATAACAGTTCACTAGATGGGCCATTTTTCACTTATGTCTTGAACCAGCACTTCATGGTAAGTGTCACGGTAGAAAACTAGGGTGTATTAGTTTGTTTTGTTCTTCTGAATGGACATCACAGCCTAAGTCTAACATGGTGAGTATAGGACTATGACAGAAACCTTGAAAGCAGTGGTTCTCAAACTGCAGGCTGCATACGGCCTGATCAGCACACTTCTGTGGCCTATTTAACACACTCAGAGCTCATTTAAAATGTGCTTGGTAGACTTTTGACAGCATAGAAATGAGAGATTTTACAGAATATTGATTTGTATTGTATTACTCTTAGATAACAGATACAAAACATTTTAAAATGGATACACAGGAAGTCAGTTGTGTGGGTGCGGCTCACATAACACAGTGAGAGCTGCAGGTGTGGCCCACTACAGCAAACGGGTTGAGAACCACTACTTTAAAGCAAAAGCAGAAGAATAGCACAGACAAAAAGTAGCACAGGAAGATCCTGAGTGTGGTCTCCAAGGCAGACATGATGCTGAAGAACCCCAAGGTAAGCATCAGTTGGGGCTATCCAGAGGAAGATATTTTAGCACAACCAACATTGATGTGGACAGAGAAAGTGAGGAGGCTGGAGAAGGACCCATGCTGAAAAAGAACAAAGCAAGAAAAGTTGAGTGCTGCTCTTATAGCTCCGTATTTATCCAAGACTTTTTATTCATTAATGTGCAGGGAGTACCTATTTCATGCATTCACAGTAAGGAATATTCTGGAAAATTAATAGTTACATTTTATTAAAAGAATCTATTACTTACTCGAGGCCAGATGGTGCCTTCGAATTCTGCCATGGCCTGAGATCCCTTGAAGAGTTGCTGGAAGCTTTCATCCTCCGAGGAGAAGCAGTGCCCAAAAAGCACAGCAGCAATCACGTTGTTGATGGAAGAAAGGATGGAGACTGAAGGGTCCATAGGTCTCCCTGCGGACAGAGGAAGGAGTATCATTAGCTCTTTCACAGACTGTGCCCCATTGTAGGCCATGAAGTTCCACTGAGCTGTATTCCCATCTGTTCCTGATTCCGATGGGATCTTGTGAATGTCTGATCTTGCCAAACAAGAATGGGGGTGTTTAAATAGAAAAATCACAAGTTGGGCAGCAGTATAATAAATGATGGGGACAGCCCTTCACAACAACAGCGGCATCTGGGATAATTTGGAAACCTTTGTCTGTTGCTGTTACCAGCCCAGGCCTCCTTGCCAGAAGTTAAGAGTGAGAGTAATTATAGTCTTGTGGTATTTCAACCCAACTAGGAAGCTTTCCGTGGTGAAAGTGTTATGAAGATATCAGGTCTTATATGCTTTCATCAGATCCCAGGGGGAAGATGCCTGCGCACATTACAGAAACCTACCTTCTCAGCTGATACTAGGGAAACTTACTGGCAGCCTCAGTAGAAAAGCCAAGGAGAATAAACCCTCTACCCTTTCACTCACAGTTTGTCAGTCATTTTCTGTACCAGATCTATTAAGCTGAAAGAGATTAATACTTCAGCACATTACCACATATATATTTATGTTTTACCTTTCTCTCTGGCAAAGGTCTGTACCAGGAGCTGAGCTTGTCCCTGAATCCATTCTTCTAGGGTTTTCTTCCCTAATCCTAGGTTCCGTAACGTCATCAGGCTGAACCGTCTCTGCTGTTTCCAGGTGTGGCCATTAGCAAAAATGATGCCTTGAGCCAATAAAATAAAGAAGGACTGAGATAAAATTGTATGAATGGCCTGCTAATAGACAGACTAGAAGAAAGTTAAGGTGGTTCCAGGATTCTGTTTTGAGTTGATGATGACCTCTTGCTAGTACTTAAATGGGAAATGAGACATTTATGCTAATTTAGATTCACATACTTGGTCCTTTTCATGGAAAATAAGTCTGATATCCTTCCCCTTCTCCCTCTCCATTCTGTGGTTTTCACCATTGTCCAGCTAATAAAACTACTTTGTTGTTTTATCTGGGATCATGTTCAATATACGCTAATTCTTATTGTTTTGTATCTGTGGTTCTTTGTCTATTGCAAAAACCTCTTCAGGTAATTTGATGCGGTGCTATACTCAGTAACTTCTGAAGGAGACCAAATGCCACTTGAGTTACTCACTGTACATGTAGCAAATGCAGTGGTTTTGTGTACTGAATACACAATTTGGAGCCAGCATTTCAAAAGCACATGAAACTATATATATAACTTACAAAGCACTAAAGCGAGTAGCTATGAAGAGGGTGATGCTTTTGATAGATATTCCCATTGAACTAGGGCTTTTCCTCTGAACCATCTTGTCACAAACAGAAGATTTCTTTACACGAAGAAAAAAAGTACCTTGAGGGCCGCCTATCACATCCCTAAGGAAGGGTGTGATGGGTCGCTCTACAAAGTCATCTGAGTGGCTGATCAAGGCATCCTTCACTGCTTGGAATCCATTCAGCACAATTACGGGTGTTTGTCCCAGCCACAGAGTGTACATATTTCCATGCCTTCTAGCCATCTGCCAATGCAATAATGCACACAGTGAAGTACAGACACCACTACAGGTGGGACATGTCTTTTTTTCTGAAAATGGATTAATTAGCTGTTTCATGAAGCTGAAGGCCCAGGTTTATTTCTAATTACATAATGGTTTGTTTGCAGCTTGAACATTGGTTTCATTCTGATGCCACGGAGTAATAGGGATTTACACAATGTCTCAATTAAATCTTTGCGTTTTTCTAATCTTGCCATTAATAACTCATTTTGCGTATGCTTCCAAAGGGTGCCAAGACAAACCTTTCAATACCTCAAGCTAGAAAATAAGCATGACTTTTCCCTCTTCACTTGTATTATCCTGTGGGATTGATAGACTCTTATGCAAGACAGTCAGTAGATAATCTCCTATTTACCATTTTTCTTAAACTCTATAGCATTTTTTGTCAGTGTGCCAGTAAGCATCATTATTGATAGCAGTACAAACTTGGAAAACCTGGTTGTTATGAACTGCTTTGGCCATCGGAGGGTAGTATTAGGTTACATTTGTATCTTGTATTGCTCTATCCTAGTGTATATTATTAACAGGGATCCTGGTTTTCCCTGATAAAAAAAATTGCAAATTCTCTACTAAAAAAATGACAAATTCTCTAATTAAAAACCCAAAATCTGTGATTAAAGTGAAAGGCCACTATATATATATATATGTAGGTATCAGTTGAACACAATGTTTTATTGATATATTTATACAGGTTTAATGTAATTTGGAAGCCTATCAGTACCTCAATCACTATAATAAAATAAATTCTAAATACGTATAAATTTTGCCTTTTATTTTGGATTTTTTTAATAGAAAATCAAAGCTCCCCCTGCCCCCTTAGCTCACAGAATGCAGGTCCAGGACTCTGACTCCCAAGCCATAGCCCCGCTAGCCCTGCTGGTGCCCCTCACTCTCCCCCACCCCCTACAGTCCTCTGGCTCTGCTGGTACCCCTCATTCCCCCCAGGCCTGCTGGTGCCCTTTGTCCCTCACCTGCAGCCCCCTGCCCCCCACAGCAGCGTCTGAATCCCAGTTGCCACCTGCAGGAGGCAGTGGCTGCTGCAGCAACATGGAGCACAGAGTGGCTCCCCCAGTCCCATGGGCAGAACGGCTGGAGTGGAGCCTGCAGGGGGCACAGGTGTCGGCTGCCTGCTGCAGGCTTGGGTGGGGAGTGGGGCTGGCTCCCTGCCACTGCACTCACTCCCAAGAGGGTGAGGGGGGACACATGCCACCCTGATCTGTGCATGGGGTGGGGGTGGGTGCAGGCTACCTGCTTCAGGCTTGGGCTTCCCACTCTGCTGATCTTCCCCGGGGCTTCTGTGGCCCAAAGGGCAGGACCTGGCGTGGCACAGCAGGGTGGGGCTTGGTGGGGAAGCTCCTTGCTGCTGTGAGCTCCCTGCTGCTCTGGTGAGGCACTCCCTGCTCTCCCAGCAGCAGCAAGGGGCATAACCCCATGCCACCACTCCCGCTGCTGTCAGGTAGGCAGGGGACATCTCACTAGGGCAGCACACAGCTCACAGTGGCAAGGAGTTTCCTTGCCCAGCCCCACTCTGTCCTGCCATGCTGGGTCCCACCCACTGAGCCACGGAGGCCCTGGGGGAGGGCAGCAGGGTGGGGAGTCCGAGCCTGCAGTGAGCAGCCTGCCCCATGCATAGATCGGGGGAGCACAGGTCCCTCCTGCCCCCCTGGGAATGTGCGCAGTGGTGGGGAACCAGCCCCACCCCCAGATGAGCCACTCATGGCCCTGTCCCACTCCCCTCCACGGCCTGGCAGCCGCATATTCTGGCCCCGGGCCCCAAGTCCCCCAGCCCCAGCCCTGCTCAACTTCCTCCCTCTGTATGGGGGCCTCAATGCTCCCTCCCTCCTGCCAGACTTAACTGCAGGAGCTGCTCTCCAAGCTGCCTGGCGCCCATGCGTGTATACATGCACACGGCACCCCCTATCTGGGCACCCTCCTCCCACTTCCTCAGCCTCTTGCAGGCTGGAACTCTTGTCAGCTCTTTGTAAAAGGGCAAAATCCATGTGTTTCTCTGTTGAGAAATCTGCGTTTTTCTAGGGTAAAAGGGACAATCTATGTTTTTTTTCTATTTTTCCATGGGAAACAGAAAACCCAGATCCCTGGTTATTAGCATGATGGCACAGCTTGGCCACATGTTTTAATTAGCCTTTTCGAAAGTAATCATTGATTTTGGGTGTCTCATTTCTGGTGCTTTGGGTCTGATATTGTTGAGGGGTGCTGAGCTGCTGCAGATCCTGCTGGTTTCAGTTGGAGTTTTGATTCTCATTCCATCTGCAAATTAGGTGCATCCTCTGTGATTCAGAGATGGGCAACCAAAAATTGAGACAGCTATAAAAATTAGGCCTGTGCGAAGTGGCTAGTATTCGTTTCGGATTCAGCCAATTTGGGGACAGTGATTTGAATTGGGGACTGTGATTTGAATTGGTGATTTAAATCACTGTCTCAAATCGTTTCAGCCGAATATCCAAATCACACAGGCTTACCCCCACCTGCTCTCCCAGCCTGGGCAATGGCTGCCCTGCCCGCCCTAGCTCCGGGCACTTTGGAAAAAAAAGCCCCAACTTAATGGGTGCTGCTGGACAGGGGGTGATCCCTGCTGCCCCCCCTGCCCCACGCTACGTGGGGGGGGGGCTCTGCACAAGACCTCCAACCCCCCGCTGTTGTCCCAGCCCCCCCCATGACTGCCCCACCCATTCCAGTTCCGTCCCTTTAAGAAAAAAAAACCCAAGACCCCCAAACTAACCAGTTCCTGCCCGGCGGGGGGTGATTCTCACTGCCCTGCACCATGGGGGCTCTGCACGAGCCCCCCAAAGCCCCAAGGCCACTGCAGGAGTGGTGAGTCCTGG